CTGGCTCTGGTGAATTCTCTCACCCTCCCGCGCTTCTGACTGTACCCGTGCTTGTATAAAAAAATAAAATGAAATAAAATAAATCTTAAATAAATATATAAATAAATAAAAGTGTGCCTTCCCTTTAAAACAAACAAACAAAAAACAGGAACAGCTACACTTATATCTGATAAGTGCCAGACCTAGGGATGCTGAGAGGAGCAGCCCCTGTCCCCTGTCCCCTGGCTCACTCCCTTGGGGGTAAGAGGATGACAGTTGGAGGGGGGGGCAGCAGGAGCCCAGAGAAAAGCCACTAAAGCTTCAGCTGAAGAGGTGACCTCCAAGCTAACACTTGCAGAATCTGAAGTTTCTACGTGCAGCTCTGAAGAGGGATTTTCCTACTGGAGGAAGCAGCATATGCAAGGGCTGGAGCCTGAAAAGGAACCTGCATCCCGGGAGTGACTGGTTCCAGAGGGGAGGGTGGTCCCGCTCTGCAAGACTCCCCAGGATCTCCTGAGTTTTCCCCACTTCCACCCCACCCCCAAGCGCAGAGTCAAAAGTGCTGGCCATTTCTGCAGCAACCAACAACACCGGTTACCAGGGCCTCTGCGACCGGGACTGCGTCTCTATTGGCTGCCTCCAGAGCCTGTTCCCTGCAGGCCACTTGGGTTGGTTGACGCAGCCCAGTGTCTGCCTGCATTCTTGGCGCACTTTAGGGGCGGCCCCCGCAGGGCCAGTCTCCATGCTCAGACTGCCACAGAGAGGTAACCATGAGGGGGCCCAGCAAGACGCCTGGAGAAGAAGAAGCGCAGGAGGAAGAGGCTGCTACAGTCGCTGGGCATCCTGCAGGGGTCACGGAGGACAAGGCAGATTCAGATTCCGACCTGGAGACTGAAGGTGCCCCCAGACAGGCGGAGCCATAAGGATCAGTGTCAGGCCAGTCTCCTCACCTTGAGAGCTTCCCTCCCTGGCTAGAGGGAACAATCTGGGGCCCAGGTGTCAGGGAACCGCTGTCCATCAGGAAGCTTAGCCCTACGTGCCCACCAGGGCAGAACGCAGCCCCTCAGCCTCCTGGTTCCTGGCGTCATCGGGACTTCTGCTATTAGAATACCCTTCCAGGATGAGGTTAACGTGCAAACAAGCCCACCAGTGCCAAAGGAGGCCCCTTCTGAAGTGAAGTCAGGTGGAGTTTCCCCAGCACATAGGACAAACTAAGCTGAGGGGTGTCTTGAGCTTCGAGCTGTTTCAGTTACCCCTCCCCCTCCCCCATGAGAAGGCCCCAAAACACAGGTGGGCTGCGCTCCCGCAGAAAGACACAGAATGACTTTGGCATCGGACAGACTGGCTCTGCCAGGGTTAGCTTCTCCCAGTGGTGAGAGGATTTACTTTCTTTGAGACTCAAAGTCCTCAGCACAGGAAAAGAAATGCCTCAAGAGGGGAAGCACCTGACAGGAGGGAGGAGGCCGTGGCTGTGCCTGCAGAAGGATCCACATTTGTCCCTGTGACTTTCAGACACCCGTGGACTTGGAGAGATGGCTGAGGCTCCCCACTACTCGGGGTCTTGCTGGGCCCGCGGTGCTGGGCCTGCCCCCTGCTTTCTGCGCCAAGGGAGCTCCCCAGAGCTGAGCCTGCGACACCGTGGCCTGGGGCCTCAGGTACCCTTGGAGGGACCCTGGTGCCACATTCGGAAGGGAGGACCTGGGGCAACAACTAAGGGTGTGGCCCTTCTGAACCCATCCTATACACTCCCCTGCCCCGCTGTGTGCCAGGCATGTCGCATCCCCCACATCTGGGTGACAGATGGGCCCAGAGCAGTACACTGCTCTATGACCCAGAGCAGTATACTGGCTTGGGAGTCTGCAGGGGGCCCCTAACCCATTGGAAAGGGGTCAGGGAGGGCTCCTGGAGGTGAGGTGTAGGAGTAGCCTAGAGAGAGGAGCAGGTACCCCCTGAGCATGTGGGAAGGGGAAGGCCTTCCAGCTGGGGGCAACGAGTAGGCTGACCCCTGGGAATGCCAGCCAGGTAGTAACCGGCTGTGTCTGGGGCCTTTAGTCCTGGAAAGGAACAGGCCCCTCCCATTGTTCTCCTCTCTCCAGGGGGCACAGGCTCTGGCTTCTGCGCTGATCTCTAATCCCCATGTAAGGCGGCTGGACCTTCGGGACAGTGGGCTCCGTGGGGCTGATGTGGAAATCCTGGCACGTGCCGTGAGCAAAAACAGCAGCATCTGTGGTAGGTGCTCAGCCTGAGGCAGGTGGGCAGATTGGAGTCCTTCCTTTGCTGAGGGATGTGCGCTCCCCCAACTGGGCCCTCTCACATGGGGGCTGCTGGTATTGCTGAGGCCTCATTTCAGGGTGGGGCAGGTGGAGGTGCGCACACAACTGGGCATCACTCTTTCCAACCACCCCACCCCATTCACTCTCCTCTGCTGGCCAGCACCCCTCCTCCCCCTGCATTTGGTGGCCTCTCAGTGACTGAAGGTGGGGGGGGGGGGGGGGGGGAGGGTCCTGTGACACAGAGAGGCAGGGCCTGGGAGGTGTGAAAAGAGGGAGGGTGGCGTGGGAGTATGGTGGGGCTGGATCCAAATGCTGCCTCTGCCACAAAGATCTGGATGACGCGAGGAAAGCAGCTCAAACTCACTGAGACTCAATTTTCAATCTGTGAAATGGCCCCAATAATTCCCGCCCACCCTTGAGGCTGTGGTGATCATAACATGCTCAGCAGAGAGTCTGAGGCATGTGAGTGCATGGCCACCTGGGCTGTAATTGCCAGCGCGCAGAAATGCAGCTTCCAGGGCTTCTGTGGGTGGGGTGTATTGCTCTTGGGCACAGATCATTTGCAAGGTGGCTGCTGATGTGACTCCACCACAGGCATTCTTCCCAGGACTGCAGACTTGGAGGTTTTAGCCCCTTGACAATGACACTCCTGGACACATAAGCGGGGAGCTGCCTGGTCCCCAAAGGTGGCAGAGTCTCCATGTAAATCCAGAACAATCTGACTGTAAAGCTCCTCAGGCCTGGAAGCTTGGAGGATGGGGTGAGGTGGAGGAGGTGGACCTGACTGTGGAGCTGTCTGGCTGAGGGGTTGTGCTGGTCCCCAGATGTGGACCTGTCGGAGAACCTGCTGGGAGCAGTGGCAGCCCAAGCCCTCTGTGCCTCCCTCACGGTGAACCAAGTTGTACAGAAGGTGCAGCTGGCAGGGAACCACCTGGAGGAGCAGGCAGCCCAGCACCTTGCTGAACTTCTGCTTGCCCATACAAGCCTGAAATCCCTGGACCTGAGTTACAACCAACTGAATGACCAAGCAGGTACCATCCAGCCAAGGCCGCATGGGGCGCTCCTCAGACAGGGTGGTGCTGAAAGGGACATGCTGAGCAGCCCTGCTTCAGCCTTCACCCACACACTCCACGCAGGCCTGCCCCCCTCCCTCTCCTTCCACACACAACTCGATTCTTCCCAGGGATATTTCATTGTCCTCCTCTGCCTGTGCTGGGTGCTGATTTGAGGGCCCAACCATGAAAATTCTGCTGTCACAAAAGAAACAAAAAGGGTGTCATTCTAGAGAAGAATGGGGACCCCACGCTGGAGAGGGGTGCGTGGGGAAGATTCTGTGAGGTGAACATTTAAGCTGAAATGGCCTGGGTGGGAGGAAATCAGCTGCGAGACAGAGGAAGAATATTTCAAGTGGACAGAGAGCATGCAGACCTGTTCCCAGACTGGCAGACCCAGTGCGGCTGAGCTCATGAGCCAGGGGAGAGAGGCCAGGCTGAAGGGTGGAGAGAGCGGGGAGCTGCAGCGCTACCACTCATGACACCAGGCATGAAGATTTCTTCTTTTTTTTTTCCAGTTTACATGCATGCCTGTGCTGTTGGGTTTTCTTTTCTTTACAATTTACATGGAAGATTTTGTTCTAAGTGGAAGACACCAGTGGGATTGCTAGAGCTGATCACTTTTTTTTTTCATACCTTTTGCACAGGCCATCTGCTTTGCCAGGAACATGCAGTCATATCTCTCTGTCTTCAACCAATCAATTACAAGAAGAATCTGGGGCCTTGGGTTAGGAATACAGATTCCTGCATCCCCAGACCCATTGAACCAGACTCTTGAGTGGCTGCTGTGCACTATATTTTATAGGGGTGCCCCAGGAGATTTGTCTGGTTCAGAATGTTTGGGAAGCACTGCTCTGTCTCAGACTGCTGAGAGCAATGAGGTGGCAGCCTGTGAGAGTCAGTCGTGGAACCTAACTGCCAGGAGTGCATTCTTATGAAAATCACTGTGGGGAACCAGTAAAATTAAAAGAGAAAATCGTTTCAGACTCTCTGGGCCAGCATGGTCAGAGGATGAGTGACAGAGAGGCAGCCAGCATGGAAGGGACTGGAAGCTAAAACCCTGTAAAGGCTCACAGATATGGGGTCAGGGCTGGGTCTCCAACGCTGACTCAGGGAGCGCTTCTGTTTTCCCTTGGGATCCGTGGTGGGGAGCTTGACTCCCTTAAGGGGTGAAGGAGCTTGGGTCTCAGTCTCCCCACCTGCAGAACGACTGTGGTAGCCCCTGCCTCTTCGACTGACTACAGCAGTCACTAAGACCAAGCATTAGAATTAGAAGATCCTTCTTACCCTCTAGCTGTTCAGCAGGAAAGGGCTGCACTACGAAGTGGAGGGCACCACTGCTCCTCCCAGGCCTGAAAATGTCTAAGGAAGGAGGAAATCACCCACATTTGAGAACCCGAGGGTGTCAGACCCAGTGCTGGGTCCTGGTCTCAGGGAGGCAGCACAAGGGGCCCCTATGCCCCCATCCCCACCGCCTGCAGAGAGCTCGCCATGGTGCTAAAAATGCCTGGGGGCCTCATCCAGGAGGAGCAGACTGAATGCTCTGCTCAATTAGCAGCTGTTTTCCCTCTGTGCATTTCTTCCCACCAGCCTTCCTGGACCATGCTCAGGGATGGGACTATGCAGAGGAGTCAAATTCAAATCCTTGAGGGGCATCCCATCCAGGCTGATGGGAGAGAAATCTAACAGCTAGGGCTTGGAAGGAGGGAAGCCAGTGGACTCGGGCCACATGAGCAGGCAAGGCTTCCTGATGGCAGGAACCCAGGCTGAGGAGCTATTCACCAGGTGAAGGGGGGGTCAACAGGCCCACACAGGGTGACAGCTGAGAGGCACGCTGGAGCTGGTGCTGAGGGCTGACAGTGGGGAGCAGGGTGGTAGGTGGGACTTCTGCCCATTTCGCATGCTAAATATCTCTCAGGGTTTCTTACCCCACATGGCCTTCCCTTTCTTTTCTCTGAAACTTGCCTCACTCCTCCACAGCTGCTCCTGTTCCCCTAGGCCCCGCACCACCCCAGACTCTCATCTCTGCCCCTGCTCACCCAAGTCCACCCCCTACATCCTCTGCTAAGGAACCCAACCTCTACTCTAAAGCCCTCCCTGCCTCCTCACCACCTATACAGTGGTGCCCAAGATCCTTGGCCTGGCATCCAAGGTCTCTCAGTCTCTCTCAAGTGCCCGTCGCTCCTACCTCATTTTGCTATCTTTCCCCCAGCTCACCCCCAGCTGAAGGCCTGCACATGCTCCCTGAGGCTCTGCGTGTAATCCTGTCCTGTGTCTGCTGGCCTCTGTGCATGTGTGTACGTGTGGTGACTCCCTCGGTGTCCAAGCTCCTCTCTTCTGTCCTCACTGTCCTGCCCCCTGCCCCCAGGCAAGCTTAGCTCCACTCTCTTCCATTCATCCTTGTTTGTCGTTTTTGTTTTGATGTTGTTTTTAAGGCTTATTTTTATTTATTTATGCATATAAGAACGGGGGTGTAGGCCAGAGGTGTGGGGGTAAGAGGATTCACCAGAGACAGAGTGGGGAGCAGAACAGGTGGACCTACTGGAATACACTGCTGAGGGGATCGAATTCATGCCTCAGTGGCTGGTGATAACTTGATAGTGCCGAGACTTAACCCCTTGCATCACCAAGGTTTGTAGTTTATAATACCCCCATCCCATTAATTTGTATTTGTACCTTCTCCACTCCGTGTGAATTCCTTGAAGGCAGGCTGGAGCTATGTGCAGGTCCACTCTGTGATCCTCATGCCCAGAGGAGACCCTGGTACACAGCGGGCATCCGTATCATGTTTTGAAGGAATGAACTGAGTGAGTAAGGAGGTCTCTCTTGGTGTTTCTGAAGGGGAGATACTTGGTCCGGCCCTGGCAGAAAACACAGGACTCACCCAGCTTAACATAAGCTGGAATCACCTTCGAGGCCCAGGAGCCGTAGCCTTTGCCAAGGGTTTGGAGGTAAGAGGCCCCCAACTCACCCTGTCATCTCCTTCGGCTTGTCTCTGGGTCCCAGCTCCCCTGCCTTTGGAACTCTTCAGAAACAAACCTTTCATCTTGAAGCAAAGCTTAAAGATTATTGCTTTAGGTGACTAATTTTCCTGGCTCCCATTTAATGACTATGACCTACTTGTGCACACTCTCAGGGCACTCACTGAAGGGGTCAAGCTCATGTGCACCTTCTCCAGACATTCTGCTGGTGGGGAGCATCAGGCAGTGAGGAGACACATTGTCACTGCTGGGCATGTATCCATGTTCCCTAAGATGACTCCCTTGCACCCTTGGATCCCAGCACACGCTCTCAAACACCTCACCCGCTCCCTGTGAGGTTCACAGTAGATGGGCGGTTCAAGAACCTGCCAGGATGGCACAAGGTACCTGCAGTGCCCCAAGTGCCAACCACCTTTGTCAAGTCCTTCTCAGGGAATGGATGTTGCTGCCTTGCCCCCTGACGGGGTGACCTGAGGGCTTCCCCACAAGAAGACATGTCAGGCTATCATCCCGTGTACTCACAAGCTCTCCTCCTTCCTCCCGTCACAAATCCCTGGATAAGCTTTAGCCAACAGCCTTCACTGGAGCCTCCTCTGGGTTCCTGGGCTGCTCTGTGCCTGGGGGCGCTTGTCCCTGAGGGGTGCCCAAGCAGATATGAGCACTGTTTCTCCGGCAGCTGCTGCCACATGGCCAACCCGTAGTCTCTGAAGGTCATTCACATCCACATCCACCTTCCGCACTGTGTTTCTGGCCTTTGGACTCTATCGGTCACCACCACCCAAGTCACATGACTTCCCAGGAAACTCTGCCTGTCCATACGCGGCCTGTGATCTTTATACCTCGGGTCTCTTGGGTCCTGCGACTGGCTCCTGGCTTTCTCCACCATTGCATGGGACCCCATGGGGTTGCTCTTTTTGTGCTCCAGGCAAACATCTTCCTGAAAGTGCTGGACATCTCTCACAATGGCTTTGGAGACCCTGGAGCCTCTGCCGTGGGTGAGGCACTTGCGACCAACAATGTGCTGGAGGAACTCAGCATGAGGTGAGAGCATAGGGTGCTGCCCATGTCAGTGTCACTGTCCCCAGACTCTGTAGACAGGGTCTCCATGGTAATCTTTCTGGTCTCTCGCCATTTAAATTCTCTAACCTACCACCATCTACTCATGATGCAGCTTGGGCCACAAGGATCACCCAGGTCTGTCCTTCCTTGAGTTCATCATTTCCATGTTGGGGCTCATGGTTCCTAGCACACAGGTAGTTGGTGTGAAGTGAGGCATCTTCAGCAGAGCCTGTGGGTGTGACTGGGTGCTCTGTGTGTGTTCTTCCCTTTCAGAGGAGGAGCAGAGTGTGAGTGGGGCTGGGCAGGGCCTTGACAAGCGGGCCCTTACTTACGCTCTGCTCAGCACATGACTATTGCCGGCATGCCAAGCTCTCCTGCGGCCCCCAGCACAGTGCCAGCCTCAGCAGAAAACCAGAGCAGGGACCATAAGCCCAGAGAGGAAAAAATGGCAGACATCAGTCAGGCGATGAGCTGTTGTGGCCGAGCCCCTCCTTGGGGGCTACTAGAGTGAGCAGGGCCTGCCCACTGCAATCTTGCCCACCTTCCTTCCCATGGAAGGGAAAAGGCCAGAAGAGGCACTGAAAGATGCTGAGAGGCAAGTCCAGTGTTGGGGTCTGAGAAATCAGAGATGTGGGACTGGCTCGGGAGACGTGGCCAAGAGCAGGGATGAGGACTGGAGTTTAGATCCAAGGTACAAAGTGGGAAGAAGAAGAGCAGATGTGGGGAGGAGTTTGGGTAGTTTTCCAGAACAGACACTGTTATGGTCATCGATATGGGCACAAGGTGGGGCAGACACATGGGAGCTGCTGAGTTCTGAGGGCGGCTGTCTCCACCAGGGGTGATGGGTGCTCTGGAGATGCTGGCTGGGTGATCTCCCTCAACACTGGGAGCTGCCAATGAAACATGCTCGTTATCCACCATTTACACCTAACCTCTCCAGGGTCCAGGGTATCTGTGAAGATGGAATGTGAAGCCTGACCAGGTGCCTGAGCCAGCAGCTCCAGCTGTGACCTTGAAGTGGTCTGGCTCTGCACAGCTGTTTGCAAGCTAGCGCAACGCACATGTCTTTTTGTTGCAGCAATAACCGCATCTCTGCAACGGGCGCCCTGAGGCTGGGCCTGGGCCTCCGGGTCAACCAGACACTAAGGATCCTTGTTGTGAGTGTTAGCCTGATTGGGGGGAGGGGAGGCTCAAGCCTGTACCTAGCCATGCATATCTCCCTAGCACAACAGCAGTGGGAGGTACATATTCCAGAACCTAGATGAGGGTCTCAGAAAGGAAACCTCCTGGCTTCCTTTGGGGCCACGACTTCCCCTTTTCAACCCCTCACTCATTTCTGGCCTGGGCCAGAGTCTCACTTCTTCAGATTCCTCCTCACTTCATCCTTCCGTCCTAGTGGCATGGCATCCCACCCTTCCTGCCATCCCTCCTTCTCAGCTCCCTGCAGTGTTGCTCTGCTGCTGATGGTGAGGAGCACTCTTGCTTCCCCTTTGTCTTCTTCCCTGAGCTTCCTCTGGCCTTGCTGGAAGTCAGCGTGTGAGCCTAGGTGTCAGACTGAGTCCCCTGCTCAGACCTACCCAAGGTCTTGGGCGCACAGCAGGGGCTCTCTTGTCAATGGAGAGGGAGTGCGGAGAGGGCTGGGAGCTTAAGACAGAGAAGGGAAGATGCAATCAAGGGTGGAGCATGTGACTGGGGACACTCATCAGTTCCAGGGGCTATCCAGCCCTGCCTGGCCTTCAGCTCCTTCAGCTGACAGAGCAGCCCCCGCAGCGCCCTCAACCCCAGCCTGTGGTTCACCTGGTTACCCCCTCCTCCACCTTCAACCCCGCTGGAACATAGACCTCTTCTGAGCTCTGGATCCACGTTTCCACCTGCTGTATGGTGCCTCGGATCTCCTGTTGGCCAGCTGGATTCTGAGAGTAAAGCCTCTAAGAGCTGCCTAGTCAGGCTGGGCGGCTGGAGGGAGGGTGGAGGGGTACTTCTCATGGAATCACAAGCTGGGGCCCAGTGCTTGTCCCTCTTTCCCACACTTACCCTTCCTTAGCTCTCTTCTCCTGCAGAATGCTCGGGCAGCCTGCTCCTCCTGCTTTGCACTTCCCCTCCTAGAATTCTGTTGCCTGTCAGTTTCCAACACTTCCTTCCCACCTGCTACCAGGCGATTTTTCTAAACCAGAAACTTGACCCTGTGCCTCCCTGCTTTAAGCCCTTCAGTGTGGTTCCCTTCAGGATAAATTCAAGCATAGTAGTGCATCTTTCACTAAACTCTTTTCACTAAGCTGAACTTTCACTAAATCTGAGCTCTGCCTCCTTCCCTCCTACTGGCAGCACATAATGGCTCTCGCTCCCCGAGCTGCTCAGAACTCTCTGCGCACACAGGGCTTCATCTCCCCTCTGCTGTGTTCCTGCTGCTCTTTCCCACCTCAGCTGTAAACTTCCACTCAGGTGTTTTATTCTGCCCCCCTCAAACTTTACCTCCCAGGTAGAGCTTGGGGGCACTATCTCATTGCACTGATCACACTGCATGTGTATGATGTTTCCTTTCCCCCCTCTCCCTCCAACAGGTGAGTTCTTTCAGGGTTGGGGCGTGTCTTGTCTGTATTGTCGGCACCAGCTCACAGTCAGCACTGGGTGGGTCCTCAGCCAGCATTCACTCCCTCCTCCTCCTCCTGTTTTAGGGAGACACCTTCTGAGCTGAGACAGCGGGGCCAACCTGAGCCATGTCATCAGATACCTGCCTTCTCTTTCGCATTACTGTCTTACTCCCCAGGCTCAGCTTCTCTTAGTGTTGCGTGTGTTTGTGTCTGTGTTTCTTAGGTGTCGAGGAATCCTATGCAAAGTGAAGGCTGCTTTGCTGTTCTCAAGTCTGTCCAGGATAATTCAGCATCTGCCATAGAACTGCTGGATTTCTCTGTAAGAGCTTCTCACAAACTGTACCTCTTGTTGAATAGTCCTGTGAGGTGTTATTTCTGTTTAAAGGAAGCAAGTGGGGATTAGAGAAACAGAGGTCCCTGCCCAGATACATAGTGTGGTCAAGTCCAAATTCTAGCCCCAGGCCTGAATGTAGGTCATTATACCACTCTGGCTCCATTATGCACCCCGGATGGGGGTACTTCTGTGATCTACTCCGCAGGCACCCCTGGCTTCTCCTTTAACAGAGAGAGGAGAGAGAGAGAGAGGAGAGAGAGGAGGGAGGAGAGAGGGGAGAGAGGGGAGAGAGGGAGAGAGAGGGGAGAGAGGGGAGAGAGGGGAGAGAGGGGAGAGAGAGAGGGAGAGAGAGAGAGAGAGAGAGAGAGAGAGAGAGGCTCAGCAGCATGATGCTCACTGCTTGCTGGAGTTTAGATTTGCGGGTTCAGCCCTTGTAAAGTGATCCGCCTCCCAACCTGGCCTTACTGCCTGCAGGTGGTTCATGGGGCTGGAAAATCTGCTTGTGTGGCCGAAGGAGGTTAGGTTCCCTTTTCATTCAGTTCCACCTTCTTAACGGGGGAGGGGGGGGGTTTGGGGAGGGACCCTGACATTTTTCCAAGGCAGTTAAACTTGAAGAGAATCCCCAGATGCAAATTATTAAAAGAAAGATACCAATTATTCTAACCCTGCTTTATTTCAACCCAGATTTGTGTCTTTCCAGAGATGTGTTTTTATAGTTCTGATCCCTCAGGTCTAAAACAATTGATGTGTAGCATCCTTACTGTGTCCTTCCATCTGCCTAGTCTCTACAACTCCAAAGCCAGAGACTTGTGCCCTTGACCAGTTTCCTTCTGCTTTAAGAATTCCTGTCGGCACTGAATTTGAATATTCTTTTTCAAAAAAAGATTTACTTACTATAGGGGCAGTGTAAAGGGCAGGACTGGACACGGTGCAGGTTTTCTGATCCCATGCAGACCGGGTAAAGGAGGAGTCAGAGTCCTCAGTGGTTTTTTGCAGGTCTTTTATTGGGGTTCACCAGGCATATGGCAGGAAGGGGTGCTGGCAGGCCTCCCAGCCCCCAGCAAGTCTTCACTCTATCTGAGCTCTCTGGAGTTCGTTCGGCTGCTTCTCGGCTTCTCTTTCGGCTTCGGCTTCTTTCTCAGCTTCTTGGCTTCTACTGGCGTCCCTGTGACGCCGCCCTTAAAAGCACAGTCTTAGCCCAGGTGAATCCCATCTACCTATGCCCACACCCTATTCCAGGTGCCCGCCATCAGGCATGCATTCAGGACAAGGATCCATTATCTATCCTGATGGCGGAAGGGCAGAAAAGCCTGACATTTTCTTTACCCTACAGGCAGGAATGGCCATGGAGCAGGTTTTCTATGATTCCGTGCAGATGGGGTGATGGAGGAAAGAGTCCTGGAGCCCTCAGTGGCTTTTGCAGGCTTTTATTGGGATTACCAGGTACACGGCAGGCAGGGGCACTGGGGGGCCGGGAGGCTGACAGGCCTCCCTGCCCCCAGCAAGTGCTCACTCTATCTGGGCTCTCTGGCGTTCTCTGGTGGCCTTGTTCTCGTGGTGCTTCTGCTTCTGCTTCTCTGCTTCTTGCTGGCGTCCCTGTGACCCTGCCCTTAAAAGCCCAGTCTTAGCCCAGGTGAATCCCATCTACCTATGTCCACACCCTACTCCAGGGGCCCGCCATCAGGCATGCATTCAAGACTACAAGGATCCGTCATCTATCCTGATGGCGGGAGGGCAGAAAAGCCTGATACTTTTTACCTTACCCTACAGTCCACCCCCCAGGGTTTTTGACAGACAGTCTATACAAGTGTAGGCTAAGGTAAAAGTATCAGGCTTTTCTGCCCTCCCTCCACTAGGATAGAATACTGAACCCTGCAGTCCCGAATGCATGCCTGATGGCGGGCACCTGGAATAGTGTGGGCATATGTAGATGGAATTCACCTGGGCTAAGACTGGGCTTTTACGGGTGGTGTCACAGGGATGCCAGAAGAAGCAGCGAAGCAGGAACGAAAGCAGAGAACCACGAGAGAATAAATGGCCACGAGAGAACGCTGGAGAGCCCAGAGAGAGTGAGGACTTGCTGCCTGCCAGCCTCCCGGCCCCCTGGCACCCCTGCCTGTGGTGTGCCTGGTAAATCCCAATAAAAGCCTGCAAAAGCCACTGAGGGCTCCAGGACTTCTCCTTTACCCAGACTGCTGGATCAGAAAACCTGCACTGTGTCCGTTCCTGCCCTTCACAACAAGTCATATACGTTTCTCTTGGCAATAGAACACTGCAGCCATGACCCACAAAAGCAAATGAAATATATAACAAAATACAACAGAACACAAGTAAGTCCAGGCAGGGCACCAACATGCAAAAGATAATTATTGGCACCAGCAGATGATCCACCACTTCTGCTGCCAAAGGCACTATTCATACGAGGGAGGGGAACCACTCACAGCATCTGCCGTAACACATCAGGAGCCGTCAGGTTTCCTGTCCTTCTCTGGCTGTGGTCTCGGCCACAAGCCACACACCGCATCCACCCCCAGGATGCACTAGCTCTGGGATTGGCGATTGTGTACTGTTGGGGGTAAACGCCAACCCTCAGGGTTTCTGTCTGTGGTTGCTCCAACATTTGGCTTTCATAGCCACCCATGCAACACGCAGACCCCTGCACTCAGGCCAACCCGCTGCACAAGCACATGGGTCGGGGATCCACACTCCACATGCGGCCTCTCTTGGGTCCCCCCTCTTTGGCTTGGGCTCCATCCCAAGCCACATTCCCCACCTGTCCCCTAAGGACGGGTTCCTCAGCTCCTCACCCTCACTCAAGAACGAGCAGGGCATCACCCACAGGTGATTTTACGAGACTCACTGGCCTTCCTCAGCTTACTTAGTGCTTAACAGCCTCTCAGGGCTTCCCAAACTTAGCATCAGTACCAGTTTTTGCCTTCCCAGTTGGCTTTTCTCCTCTGTCTCGCTGCTGGGCAGTACACAGGCCTGCTTTTGGCCATCAAGGCCTACTGGCCACCCCCAGATTCCCATCTCCTGGGGTTTACAAATGAAACTGTTCCACCCCCAGGGTCCCAAAACATATCAACCTGCAAGGTCCTCTGCCTTCTGGCGGGATTGTCAGTCCAACTCCATTAGTCCAAGTCCATCAGGCCTCTCCCTGCATCAGCACTGGGGAGCTCCAAATTCTGGTCCTTTCTTTCCCCGATGATTCTGCTGCCTCAGGGGTCTTTGGCTGGTCCTCTTGGGCCATCTCCTTCATGCGAGGTCTCGGACCTTGTCCATCTGTAGTTACCGGACCTTGTCCATCTCCTGTGCCACCACGACGCCTCCAGCATTGTCACAGGCTCTCAGTCTGCTCCAGAGGTCCCTTCTGAGGTCTTCACAGGTCTCCATACCCATCTGCATGGATCATACTGCTGACTACCCCAATTGTAGGGGCAGGAATGGCCACGGAGCAGGTTTTCTATGATCCCATGCAGATGGGGTAAAGAAGGAAAGAGTCCTGGAGCCCTCAGTGGCTTTTGCAGGCTTTTATTGGGATTACCAGGTACACGGCAGGCAGGGGCACTGGGGGCCCTGCCCCCAGCAAGTGCTCACTCTATCTGGGCTCTCCGGCGTTCTCTGGTGGCCTTGTTCTCGTGGTTCTTCTGCTTCTGCTTCTCTGCTTCTTTCTCGGCTTCTCTGCTTCTTGCTGGCATCCCTGTGACACCGCCCTTAAAAGCCCAGTCTTAGCCCAGGCGAATCCCATCTACATCTGCCCACACCCTATTCCAGGTGCCCGCCATCAGGCATGCATTCGGGACCACAGGGTTCCGTCATCTATCCTACTAGCGGGAGGGCAGAAAAGCCTGAAACTTTTTACCTTATTCTACACTTATTTATACAAGAACCGGGGTACAGGCCAGAGGTGCAGGAGGGTGAGAGGATTCACCAGAGACAGAGTGGGGAGCAGAACAGGCAGACTGACTGAAACACTCTGCTGAGGGGAGAAGCGGATAAGACAGGAGAGGTCTGCCGCGCCATGTGGGTTTCTCCCTGGCCGGCCGACATCGAACCCGCACTGCAGAGGCTGCGGACAGCTTCACAGCACTGCGCTCAGCCCGCTGCACCACCAGGGAGGCCCCTGAATTCGAACATTCTTAAAAAACAAGAAATGGAATGGCATATCGTAATGCCAGCAAAGCACAGAGCAGGTTTTGGATGATACAGGCAGACAGGTAAAGGAGGAGTCCTGGAGCCCTCGATGGCTTTTTCAGGCTTTTAATAATCTTTCTACCCCATCTGTAGTGAGGCAACAGGTGCAGGGCTGGCAGGGAGGCCTGGGGGCCAGAAGGCTGGCTGACTTCCTCGCCCCGGCGAATCTTCGCTCTTTCTGGGCTCTCTGGTGTTCTCTTGTGGTCTGTCCGCTGGTCTCTGCTGTACTCCACTGCACAGTTCTCTGCCGCCTTTGCCTCTGCTGCCGCCCTTATATGCTCAGGCCCCAGGCTCAGATGTGCCCACTCATGCGTGCGCACACCACGCTCGAGGGTCTGCCTTCAGGCGTGCGTGTAAGACCACAGTTGTCGCTCATCGATGCTAGTGGCGGGAGGGCGGAAAAACCCTGATCGCTTCCATTTACTCTACACATATGAGATTGTCCTGCCAAAAGACATACTTATTCAATACAACGTATGGTTATCATCAGAAACTTAGTGTAATGAGAACACCACAGAGTTTGGAATGAGACAGGCCTGGGTCCAAATTCTAGTCAGCATGGGATTCTGATTAGAGATCAACACTAGGCAAGATGCAATTTTCTGTTTACTTATTCCTTCACTGCTGTCATTAGTCTAATCTGATGCTCACAGATTTTATCCTCAGTTTTTAGGGAAATACTTCTGAATCCTTACACTTGATGCGAAATTATTCCCGGGACTCAGTCTTGTCTTTATGTGAAACAAGGCTAATACCTACCACTCGGGGTCAGGCCTGTGCAGAGGAAGACTCAATGAGTACTAGGTCTTTATCCCCAAGCCTTTATTTTTGATTTTTATTGAGAAATATCTATGCCAAAAAAGAGCAGATAGATTGAGTAGAGTTCAGTGAATTTCTGCCAGCAGCATGTAACGTACATAACCAACCCCCCGATCAAGAAATAGAACAGGACCCTCCAAGTCCCCCTTGAGTCCCTTTCCTTCTCCATTTGAATGACTTGGGGAATAATGAGATTGTCATCCACAGGAAAGAAGTCACCTTAAGGTCTTCGAGCTCTTGTGTGCTGTAGGTAAAACACGTCAAGTTCTCAGAAAGGGATAACGCATTGCTTTGTGCTGGGTTTCTCCTCAGAATATCCACGTGAACAGAGAGTTTGATGACCTTGCTAGTTCCACGAAGGTAATTCTCCCAGCACTTTGCATAAAGACTGCTGCTCATAGAGTGGAATACAAAAAAGAGTTGCTGCCAGTGTCTGACCCTAAATGACTACGGAGTATGGCTTCCTCATCTCCCATCAGTCACTTCAGCTCTCATGCTGAGGATTCTGGCCGTTCAGATGCCTTATTGCCCCTTGAGTCTGAATTGAGTCTCCTGTCAACCAGGTGGTAAGTCCTGTGGAGCCAACCTTCACCGTGACTTGATACCCTGTGGCCCCTGCACTAATTGGGACCTTCCTTTACCTTCACTCAACACAGACTCATATTATGTGCTGCAAATTGTGCTGGGCAGTGTGTCAAAGGTGCCCAAACAACCTTTTTCCCTGGTGCTCTACCTTGGAAGGCAATTGAAATGTAAGGAGGTATGCAACTGATATGCCCAAATTCAACGTACAGAATGCATGCTGACACAACTTTTTGGGAAGGCAATTTATTATTATGCACGCTAAACTGCCGGTGCCCTCTGTTCCAATGGTCTGATTAATCTCATCTAAGAAATAACTAGAGATGGATACAAGGATTAGTGCCCAAAGATGTTCATTGAAATGCTGTTTACAACCATGGAAACTGGAAATGGTCTAAATGTCCAATAATAGGGGATTGGCTAGCTAAGAGGTGGAACTCTGGAAATAGTAAAACCCCAGCATGTTTTTACTAATGTTACTAAATGTTCAAATGACATTTAACAATTTATGAAAACGTACACGATTAATGCTAAGTGAGAAAGTCAGGATAAAAGTCTCGCATGGTTTGTCTGGAAATCTTCAAAGGCTTAAACATAGGGTTACCCTATGGCCCAGCAATTCCATTCCTATGGAAACGAAAATATTTGGTCCACACAAAAACTTCTTCACAAATGTTCATAGCAGTATTTTTCATAATATCCACAAGGTGAAATTGCCCACCACCTGATCTGTGGATAAAAAAAATATGGTATACCCATATAATGAAATATTATTTTGCAATAAAAGGTAGTGACATTTGGAGTGATGAATCTTCTAATTTGATTATGGTAATAGTTGCACAACTCTGTAAATATGCTAAAAATTGAATTGTATGCTTTAAATAGGTGAATTGTAAGGTATGTGAACCGCAAGTCAATAAAGTTATGTAAAAGAAAAAGGAAGGGATGGCAGGTGACACAACATGGATAAACTTTGGAAACATTATGTATGTGAGTGAAAGAAGTCAGTCACAAAGACCATCTTCTGGATCATTCCATGGGTATGAAATGTCCAAACCAGGAAAAATCTGCAGCGACAGAAAGTACAGTAGAGGTTGCCCAAGGCAACCTTGGGGGTTGGAGGGTTGACAACTGGAAGATACGGATTTCTTTGTGAGATCATAAAAATGTTTTAAAATTGGTTGTGATGATGGTTACCCAACTCTGACTATACTAAACGACATCGATTTGTACACCATCTTACATGGGTGAATTGGAAAACATGAATTATCTTGATAAAGCTGTTACCAAAAAGTCATATTATTGGATCCAAACTGTATTTTTAAGTGTGTGAATGTATATACACAGGGGGAAAAAAAGGAGCGGAACCCCCAACTTATTGGCAATGTTTATTTCTAGGGGGTGGGTTTATGGGTTTTTTTCTTTATGTTTTTATGTATTTTCTACATTTTTTTACTTTGAGTGTTACTTTTATAATCAGAAAAATTAATAGTGTCACCAGACAAGGGAGCAGGCCCAGGGCCCCTAGTTCCGATCTCGTCCTCCAACAACACAGGCTGGCAAACCAGTCACTGTCTACTGCTCCACCCACTGGAAATCAGAGGGATGGACTTAGGGGCCATTTGAGACTCTGTGGTCAAGACTGAAAAGTGGATCTCACAGACATTGGTGAGGGCAGGCAAAGACTCAGCATTTATTGCTTAGTGAAAGAGCAAGGAAAGTTCTGGGGCGGGGGTGGCCTCTCTGGATGTGAAAGAGACTCTCCGAAGAGCCTGAGCTAGGGGTCTGCACAGGTTTGGGAGCTGGGGTGTTGTAATAGTGTAATCCCCAGGGAAAGGGAAGATTCCAGGTTCTCTGCCCCACCCTAAGGAAGGGCGGAGCTGGGCAAGGTGGTAAACTAGAAATGACTGGGGAAAGGGCTGGAGGAAAGAGAAGAAGCAGAGAGAGATGGAGAAAGAAAGCTGGAGGAAAGACATGTGAAGCCGTGCTTGCTTCTTGGCCTTGGACAGAGCCAGGGACTTGGTGACGTGAAAAGAGACACTTGAAAGAGACATGGGTGAGGCCTCCCCGGTGGCGCAGCGGTTGAGCGCTGGGTTGCGAAGCTGCCCGCAGCCTCTGCAGCGCCGGTTCGATCCCCGGCTGCTCCCGGCCACCAGAGGAGGGTCCCACATGGCGCGCAGACCTCTCCTGCCGCCCGCTGCTCCCCTCAGCAGTGTACTTCGGTCCTTCTGCCTGCTCTGCTCCCCACTCTGGCTCTGGTGAATTCTCTCACCCTCCCATGCTTCTGACTGTACCCAGTGCTTGTATAAATAAATAAAAATAAATCTTAAAAAAAAAAAAAAAAGAGACATGGGTGAGGAACCCATGGGGGGACTGACAATGGCAGCCTTTATCTTGACTTGTATTTTGATTTTGCCCTTTTCCTTCCAGACTTTCCTGGTCCCTTCTGCCCCTTTTTCATGGCTCCCCCCCAGAAGGTGTTTTAGACTTATGGCAAACTTTCAGACCTCAGTGACCCTGCTTTGGGCCAACCCTGTTTGGCTGGACATTCACCCATGCAGGGATAGGTAACTGGATGTTTAAATGGAAACTATTTTAACTATATTCTTTCTCTTCTCTGCGCACAAATTGTCTATATTGCACACTAATTGTATTAAACGTTCTTTTTTTAATAATAATTTATTCTTTTTTTCCCCAAGATCCACCTACTTATGCACACAAGAGCTAGGGTACAGGCCAGAGGTGTGGGGGTGAGAGGATTCACCAGAGACAGAGTAGGGAACAGAACAGGCAGACTGACTGAAACACCCTGCTGAGGGGAGCAGTGGGCAAGACAGGAGAGGTCTGCCCCACCATGTGTTTTCTCCCTGGCCGGCCGGAGTTCGAACTCATGCTGCAAAGGCTGCGGATTGCTTCACAGTGCGGTGCCCAACCCCTTGCCTCACCAGGGATGCCTAAAAGTTCTTTTCATTAAAGGTCTTACACACTAGAGTATCCTTTGTCTTGATGCAGCAGATGCAGAACCTATTTAGAGCAGGCAGGTTTGGGGATCCTGTGTTACCCCTCACTCTGCCAGATAAAAGTATAAGAACAGGGCCTCCCCGGTGGCGCAGCGGTTGAGCGCTGGGTTGTGAAGCTGGCCACGGCCTCTGCAGCGCCAGTTCGATCCCCGGCTGCTCCCCGGCCACCACAGGAGGGTCCCACATGGCGCGCAGACCTCTCCTGCCGCCCGCTGCTCCCCTCAGCGGTGTACTTAGGTCCTTCTGCCTGCTCTGCTCCCCGCTCTGGCTCTGGTAGGCTCTCTCACCCTCCCGCGCTTCTGACTGTACCCAGTGCATGTACAAACAAACAAACAAACAAATAAATAAATAAATAATAATAATAAAAAAAAGTATAAGAACAAAGGAATTCAATTTTATTGGCTGAGACAGCAAGGAGAGTGGACCTGGCTAACGTCCATTTGTTGTTGCTAGTAGGGAGCACCAATCTGCTGTAGCTTGGAGGTCTGCAGGAGGTCTGCATCTTCAAGGTGAACATTTCACAGAGGCCGTGTGCCCACAGCTCCAGTCTGAACTGGTCTGGTCTCAAGCTCTGGGATCCTCTTCTGAATCTGTAACTCCCTTTTCTTCTAATAGCAGTAAACTCAATAAGCTGTGAAAAGACCACCTAGAAATGGTTTTAAAAAACAATGAGCCAAGGATATTTATGGCAACAAGTGTGAGGCCTGGAGTCATCAGGTGTTTCGTCTCTTGTTTACAAGCCCATGGGAACAGAAAAATCTGGTTCTTGAGTTCTGTCCTATATGTGTCCTGGGACTCTTCTTGACTGACTAGTAATTAAAACCACAACATGATACAGGTAAGGTTACAATGATAAGTGCAAGGTATAGATAGAGCCCCGAGGAAGGAGGGTGCTATAGACTGAATTGTGTCAGTCCCCCAATTCATGCATTGAAATCCTAACCTCCAGGAGATATTGGAATCCTAACCTCCAGCATTTATTGATTAGTGAAAGAGCAAGGAAAGAAAGTTCTGGGGGGCCACTCTGGATGTGAAAGAGACTCTCTGAGGTGCTGGAGAGGGAATGATTAAGGTTGAATGAGGTCGTACAGGTGAGCTGGGATGGGATAGGACTCATAGCTTTATGAGAAGAGGCCACCAGACAGCTTGCTCTTTCCACCCACGCCCCACATGAGGATACAAGAAGGAAACCCTCTGGAAGCCAGGAAGAGAGACCTCAATAGACATCGACCCTCACAGACCTTGAGCTGGTAACAGGGGCTAGGGAGGGGGAGGAGATCGGGTGAGACACTAAGCTGCTATAGTAGGGAATCTGCACATACGTGTTGTTTATGGCCTGTCTGTCCTGAGTGAATTTTCCAGCCCGAGGACACATCTGGAGGAGGGCAGGGGGCCAGTGCTCGCTGCAGACCAGCCTCAGCACGGCGGGACGAGCATGAGGCCAGGTGTCCAGGAGGGTAGTAAGGAGCTCCGGGGCCGGACATCACAATCTCCTGGCAGCAGTGAAGGCCTGCTTACTGCTGAACTGTCTTTGTTCAACTCACTAAAAGGCAGCTGGAAATGAAAGGTTAAGGCACTTTCTTTAGGGTGTGTAGCGGCAGGATGGGACACGGAGCAGCATCTCTATGATGGGAGCAGGCAGGCGAAGGAGAGTCCCAAGAGCCCTCAGTGGCTTTTTCAGGCTTTTATTGAGTTTACCAGGTACATGGCAGGCAGGGGGGCTGGCGGGCCTCCCAGCCCCCGGCAAATCGTCCCTCTTTCTGGGCTCTCCGGCGTTCTCTCGTGACCTCTGCTTCTCTGCTGGGGCTGCTCTCTCAGTTGTTCCTCTCTCTGGTTATTCTCTTTCTTCTCTCCTGGTGTCCCCGTGATGCCGCCCTTATAAGCCCAGTCTCTCAGCTCGGGTGTACCCATCTATTCATGCCCACACCCCACCTCAGGTGCCCTTCAGGCATGCATTCAGGACCACAGGGATCCATCATCCATCCAAATGGTGGGAGGACAGAAAAGCCTGATACTTTACTTACCCTATAGGGTGTTAGCCACCCCCCAATCTTCCAGATTGATGGCTACCTGATTAAAGCACACTTTAGAGCTCACTCTATTTCTGTCTCTTCTTCGTTGGCATTTAGTGGTGACAGGTGGCCCAAACTCTGATCTTCCGGTTACACTGGGACTTCTAGCCTCTAGAACTGTGAGAAAATACACTGTTGCTTAAGTCACCTGGTCTGTGGTCTTTTATTATGGCAAACAGCTGAGTACGAGGGAAGGCTTCACCCTCCTGGGGAGAAGAGGCAAACAGGGTTTCTTTTGGTTTCCATAACTCTGTTGTCCTCCCTCCTCCCTGCTGCAAAGGGCATCTTTCTAAGTGCAGATGTGGTTGTGCCTTTAGAGGCTCACCAAGGCCTATAAAATATTCCAACTCCTCTATGTGATGTGTCCCATCACAGGAGCAGGATCCACTCTCTTGCAAGGAGGGGAAGGGTCTGCTCAACACCCTAGGGAGTTGCCACATGGGGTGCCACTTTCTAGTGATGAACTGGAGGTACCCATGGATTCCTTCTCCCTTGCCTTTCTTTTTTTTTTTTTTTTAAGAGTTATTTATTTATTTATTTATTTTTTTTTACAAAGAATGGGGGTACAGGCCAGATGTGCAGGAGAGTGAGAGGATTCACCAGAGACAGAATGGGGAACAGAACAGGCAGACCGACCGAAACACACTGCTGAGGGGAGCAGTGGGGGAGACAGGAGAGGTCTGCCGCGCCATGTGGGTATCTCCAAGACCGGCGGGGATCGAACCAGCACTACAGAGGCTGCGGACAGCTTCACAGCGCTTCACTCAACCGCCTGTGCCACCAGGGAGGCCCTCCCTTGCCTTTCTCAGAAGGAAATGCATGTTGGAGCCTAAAGAAAGTTAGGTTGATCTCTACGGAACGGAAGAACCCCATGATTGTTCCAAAGTCCTCCAAAATGGACTTTGCACCCCAACCCAGGGAGGGAGAAGAGCAGGGTTGTACCCTCCTTCTCCTTTGTCCCCAGAAGCCCCTTTCTCCTTTAAAAGCAGGTGAATCCGGCCCGGTCGCCGGGTGCTAGACGGGAAGAGCCTTTCTGCACTGGGAGCGGGTGGAAAAGAAAGAGGGAGACCACTTTGGAGAGATGGTGAACAAGCCTCTCGCAGGCAGTCCGCTTTGAAAAAAACGGAACCGGTGCGGGGAGCCAAAAGGGATAGCAGCATGAGGTCGTAGTCAACTCATTCTCAGGCTAGGGGCTCACGCAGTTGGGAACGTCCCAGGCGTGGCGGTGGAGGCGCCAACCTAAAGCCCAAAAACTCCTCGGAGGCTCCAGCCCTCACTGCGCGCTCGAGGACTGTGCAGCCTTCCCGCCAAAACTCGCATCCAACCAGAAAGCGCCACAGTACACGAGTTAAGCAAGGACCAATGGGAAGTGGGGTTCCGGGACTCGGCCCGCCCCTGGGCTCTGCAGACCAATGGCTGTCGAGGCGCCGGCGGACCAATTCCCTGCGCGCCCGTGCGCAGCGGCCGAGTTCGTTGGGCGCGCGGCAGGCCGGGCGGTTGGAGTCGAGCTGCGGCGGCGGCACCGCTCAGCATGGTAGGGCCGCAGGGCCGCGCGGGGTGGGCGCCCTGGCCCGGCGTGGGCGGGGTGGGGCGTGGAGGTGGACGAAGCCGCTCTGTGAGAAGGCCCGCGGGGCTCGGACGCCGGGGAGAGGCCGGAGGCCCGCGGGAGGCCTGGGCCCCGGCCCCTGCCTCGTCCCTGGGCTTGTGGGCGCCGAGGGCGGTGGCGGCCCGAGCGTGGCGGAGACCAGGGCCCGGGGCGGGCGTGGGCCCGGGCGGCCGCGGCTCCTTCTCGGCCGTGGCGGAGCCGCTGAGAAGGCGCCACCTCGCCGGGTTCCGAAGACCGGAGGCGGCCGGCACCGCTGCGCTAGAAATTACCCGGGAGCCCGAAGAGATTCTGTTTCTGTTTCTGGGGGTTCTGTCCCTGGAACTTGTCATGTTTGAAATGAACACTGAGACTTTAAAAGTACCTATTCACTCTAGAGCCACGCATGTGGACAGGAG